AAAACGTGGTTTTTTAGATTAATTTTTTAATCTACTAAATTTTTTTGTGCATTTTAGTCTTACTTGAAAAACGTGGTTTTTTAGATTAATTTTTTAATCTACTATAATTATTTCTTTCTGTTTTCCATACTACACAGCTATGCGTAAAAATGTTGGGGATTGCGTTTCAAGAATGTCGGTAATTCAAATGATCTGGCGGGGTATCTGGAGTTAATGTGGGTGGCTTTTGGAATTTGTTCTGAAACATTTTTTCTGAACCCATTCGTTGTCATCGCGCCGCTTCTTCTTCGAAAATAGCTGCGTTACATTTAGGGACCTGCATCTTTGAATGTGCAGTGATTCATTAGCAGCTCTTTGATGCAAGGTCTGGCAAAAATTCCTCTTTTTTTGGGGGGGGGGAATTGGGTTGGTGCCTAGTGTTGAGAACTTTCTACAGGGACCCCATCCTTATTTTGGTTACAAGCATCAGTGATGAAATGCAGATGCACACGTCTTTGCCTGTATGCAGGCAATTGTTCCACTGGGTGGCGCCGCGGATTCCCCCCATTATCCTGTGCCACCCCGCCGCTGAAATCATTCTGAGCGCCCTTGCGAGCGAGGGGGTCTGTATACTGGATGGCGGAAAGCCGCCGCTGCATAAATCCCCGCTTTCTCCCCCCCCCCCCCCAAACCCCACAATCCGAACCAGAACTGCTTAAACCAGCCAGCCAGCCTCCCGTTTTTATGCGCACGTCTTTGCCTGTATGCAGGCAATTGTTCCACTGGGTGGCGCCGCGGATTCCGCCCCATTATCCTGTGCCACCCCGCCGCTGAAATCATTCTGAGCGCCCTTGCGAGCGAGGGGGTCTGTATACTGGATGCCTGGCACCACTATTATATTATATTTCACAATTATATTTCACAATCCTGCTGTCAACCAAATACTTTCCCAACTGCACTCACGCTTCCTTCCTTCTAAAGAAACGAAGTATGACACCCTCAATCCAAATTGGTTTCTATGCATGTTTCTTGACCTTGGCCAACCAAGGATATATACAGGTGCATTTTATGTTGCATTAAGTTGACCGCACCTGACTCTGATGGTACACCTTGTTGATGTTGCTTTGCTCCACAAGAATTGTATTTGTATCTATTGTGTGAAGGATAAAATAAATTACTGGATATGCAGTACTCCCACAGAGTAACTTTTGAATTTCCTTTGCAAGTTGCAGAAAATGATTCAAACCTCCAACTTAATGTCTTAACTGTAAGCAATAAAGTACAACAGTGATTGATCCCCACAGTCTCTTTACTTGTCTTGATAGTTTTTTGGACAACAATATATTGACATAAAAATGGCAGCCATGTCAATGGGAATGCTTAATTTTTGAAGGGCCAGGGGTATGTATAAACACGTTTCATGATATGTGATGGTCAATATCAAAATTGAAGCAGAAATGTTCTTCATGAAAACAAAATACAGTATAGGTTTTTCTTCTATGATCACAAGTTCTTCCTTGTGAGAGCAAGAATTGGTTATAACAAAATTTTACTGTACTACTTGATCCACAAAAAAAATGTCCAGTTTGACATAAGCTATAAACACCGCCTTTTGCAGTACTGTGTATACAGTAGTAAATTATTTCAAAAGGAAAACCCCTGATTTTTTGTTCTCCTGACAAATATCAGACACGACGTTTTGTCATGATTGAAAGCCTTTCTTCATGATATATAGGAACCCTTTTTTTTCTTTCTTATCCGTTGTCAGTTTTCATTCCACGGGCAATCATTCATTCGTTGCTTGGGGAATTTTTTTTGTTTTCTAGGACGATGCATAAAAGGAGTCTCTTATTTCCTCCGAGGAATAATTAGCGGATCGGTGCGAGTTGTGCATGAAGGATTTCGTCGGTCGCTGCATTAGGATTTATTTTCCCCCCGAAGGGTTAATTAGTCTCGAGTGCCCTGCCCAAAGGCAATTCTCATCTTGTTCTTCTTGAAGTCGTTTCGACGGTGTTCATTCCTCGGTTGAGAATGTTGTGGAGTGATTATTTCGGTCAAATTCCTAGACTAATTTCTTCTGCCAGGTATAAATTAGCTGTCGAGAGTCGAGGGCAGGAGTTTCCATTTACAGAAAAGGGCGTGTGTGTATAGCTTTGTGTTTTATGAAGGGAAATAAAGTTATTTATCATTTTACAGTTGAATCTCTCTGAGTCGAATTTAAAGGGACAAGCAAAAATAAATTGACTTGACGAGGTTTTGAGTTAGGTAAAAACGTGGTTTTTTAGATTAATTTTTTAATCTACTAAATTTTTGCATAATATGCTTCTCATGCGATTTCATGATTCGGGGTGTCGAAGTTCGGAATTTCCTTTTCTTCGGTTTTGAAGCTCTGCAAAATCCCCGTGATCAAACAGCTCTGAGCGAGTTGCACAACAGAAAAAAAAAAATGGCACTTGCTGGAAGAAGCGCGTGCCACTAAATTCTGCAGACTTTCTTCACTCTTGATTGAAATTTTATCTCGAATCCAGTGAAACAACTGTGCTACTACGTACGAAAGAGCGCGTGCTCTAAACAGCGCATGCTAAAAATTTTTTGCATTTTTTTGACTTGCGATTATTTTCTGTTTGGTGATGTGGATACCAAAGGTCGATTCTTTTTCCTAAAACTTCTGTGACAATTTTATGACCTGCCTGATAGGTTCCAGACGCGCTCAACTGACCCACCGCCCAGACATACAGAAGCCTGAAAATTTCCTGACAAACGCGGTTTTTTGTGAAACTCAAATTTTTTTTCACGTATAGTTTAATGTTTTATCGAATCATGCGTTTGACAAATTTTCATTGGTTATTTTGTTCCATGCCCGCTTTTCTGGGACGTGCCCTTTTGGATCACGCTCAATTGTCCCTCCATCCAGAAACCTCGACATTTTTTTCTTTAAACAAAACCCAGATATTTTATTGAATCCTTTCAGTGATGGATTTTCAGCTTAAAATTTTTTAAACGACGCTGTTGTGAGATGCGCTCAATTGTCCAGTTATCAAGAAATCTGAAAAATGTAATATCCGGTTTGATTTTTAAAATTAATTATGCAAGAAATGAAACACCGTCACTTATATTTAAAATTTTTCTAAAATCACAGACTCTTCTCGGACGCGCTCAACCCAGAAATCCAGCTGCCCGGAATTTTCCTGACCTGAGAAAGTTTGAGAGTTGATTGAATCATTTCCCGTCATTGATGTATTAACCGAAGTGTCACGAATACAGCCTTATCACCGTGTGAGATGAAGCCGCGGACGCGTCGAAAAGGGGGGGGGGTTTCATTGGGTGTTTTAATGACCCCTTTGCCTGCGGCGTTTTGGTGCGACCTAAAACGGGGCAATGAACGCGTGTCGGAAGCTTGTCAGGACCTCCAACGTTTTCCCGCGAAACATAAAAGGGATCTCATTTTTTTAAGCCTCTCGTTTCATCATGAGCCTCTTCTCTCACGTTTTCAGCCACAATTTTTATTCCGGGCTTTTGGAATAATGAATATAAATCCCCGCTTTCCCCCCCCCCCCCCGAACCCCACAATCCGAACCAGAACTGCTTAAACCAGCCAGCCAGCCTCCCGTTTTCTCCGACCGCCCCCGGGGAATCAATCACTACCGACTAATTATTAAACATGCCACCAAGCTCCGAACAAAGGAGACGAAAGGCGACACCTGGAGAAGGCGCACCAATTTGCACTTGGCGCGCCTTCTCCAGGTGTCGCCTTTGCTGTGTTGTGGTCATTAACTGTAATTACTCTAATTAAACTGCTCATAGTGTGCCAAAAAGCACAGAAGATTGCATTGTCATCAGTTTCTAGGCTATCCTGAAAGTTTCAGCTTGCTAGCTAGTCTGGAAGTGAGTGAAATTCGAGTTTCAAAATTTGATCCGGACAAACAGACAGACAAGAAAGTGAGTTCATAAAAACGTGGTAAAAATGGATGGAGTTATAGGCTTTGTAGATTTGCAAATTGGAAGTTTCGCCATGCACAAATAATTTTTCCTCAGGCAATTCCTGCAGAATTTATTGTTGTACAGTATTAGTATATTTGTTACATTTTTAAAAAATGTTTCTTGTAAGGTTGAAATAGAGATAATTTGGGAGTTGGAGGGGATGGGCCTTAGATGTTTTTGGGGGAAAAGGGATTATTGGTTGAAATACAGTACTGTACCTCGCAAGGTATCAACAAAGGGTTTGAAAAATAAAAAATAAAAACCCCCCAAGATGAATTTCAATTTCATTTTCGAATGATTGCAAGGTTTTGATAATCGGCGGAGGGGACGGAGGAGTGGCGCGGGAGGTGATCAAGGACCAGCGCGTGGAGCACGTGGACCTGTGCGAGATTGACGAGCGGGTCGTGGAGGTGTCGAAGCAGTTCCTGCCGTCGATGGCCGTCGGCTTCCGGTCGGACCGAGTCCGGGTCGTGTTTGAAGACGGCGCCAAGTTCCTGGCGGAAACGGCGCCCGAGACCTACGACGTCATCATTGCGGACTCGAGCGACCCGGATGGCCCAGCCGAGAGCCTGTTTCAGGGCGAGTTTTACAAGGCCGTGGGGCGGGTGTTGAAGCCCGGCGGGATTGTTTGCTTTCAAGGTATAAATAATGGGTCGTGGAAGGATTTTAATGGGAGCTATATGTATAGTGACTATAGTGATGCGATGTGATGTGATGAAGGGGTTGCTGTATTGCTTGTGTTCCCACAGAGAAATATGCACTGTACTATTGGAGGCCTCTTTTCTGTTGAATCATTGACGCAGGAGCTAGAAAAGACAATAAAAATATAACTTGATGTGTTTTTTGAGAGGAAGTGACAGACTAATTGGGCAAATGAAACCTTGCCCCCCAAGCTCAGCATCCTGTCAACCCCATTCAAGAAGCAATTTAAGGCCCAGGTTATCATCAGTTACAATTTTTCATTCTTTTCCTTTAACAAAAAAGCTCGGTTCCCTGACACGAATTCTTTGCTGGACCCTTGAAGTTCGGCTTTCATAGCTTTGATTTGTATTTATTAATACAGTACAAATATTAATCATTTTGTGATAATTTGCCATCAGGTGAAAGCATGTGGCTGCACGTGGACATCATCAAGCGAACTCTCGGCCGTGTTCGCGAACATTTTCCTGTGGTTTCTTACGCTTCTGCATACATTCCGACTTATCCTGGAGGTCAAATCGGATTTGTGATCGCTGCCAAGGACGAGGTTGGCATTTTTCCTGTTTTTTTTTTTTTTTTTTTTACTCGAAGTCCGGATCACGCATTATTTCTGGAAAAATATTTTCAATAACGGAAGTGGACATTCTTGAATGGAAGGGATTTAGGTTTTTCCGTGTTTGAGATAATTCATGGAAACTTGTCCGTTGTAATGCCATATTAATTCACTCATGAGTAGATGTCGCTGCTATAAAAGCAGCTAAAATAATGATTTTTTAGAATTATGAGCAAGTTGGGGAAATTTTTCTTCAGAGTCTTGGTTACATCCTGCTTGCTTGAAAATATTGATTTTCGATAATTTGGATCAAGTTTTTATTGGATTTTTTTTTACATGCTTCAATTAGTCCTTTCAAAATACATGAAATGTTCGGAATTTTCATCAATACTATGAATTTTTTCGGCACCCGTAGTACATGAGTGTTTTTTAAGCGCTGGATTTATGTACAAGTTCGTCTTTTCATTTGATTCGCAGAAAAAGAACCTGAGTGACCCAGTTTGGGTCATGAGCGATGCGGAAATGACCGGGATGAAGCTCAAGTACTATTCCCCTGGAATGCACAAAGCTGCTTTCATTTTGCCCCGAGACTTGGAGAAGAAACTGGAGCTCGTGCATTGAAGAATACCATTGTACGTCAATGACGAATGAAGAAAAGAGAGGGAAAAAAACTGTTCATGCTGTAGAAGAACTGAGTAGAAGACAATAACAGAGGCCATTTGGATCCCATTTCTTTCTGAAGAAGTGTCCTTCTCTGTTCCCTCGTCTGCATGGCCGGCAAATATGAAACACGATGGATCTGAAAGAAAGAAAGAGAAGAAAAAAAATATTGTTTGAGTTGTCATTTTCTTCCGTCCTGGGGTTTGTATTTGAATTATTATAGAGGGTTTCTCGAAAATCTTGCGAGTCCACCTGCAAATAATATAAGCATTGCAAAATGCAGTGAAACATTCCCTCCGCAGAAGAGCATGAAAAACAAATATAATTTATTTGTGATGTATTGAAAACATTATTTGTGTCTTCTTGAAAAAAGCAATGAGGCAAAATTCTGATCAATATATTTGAAGACAGTCCTTGCTTATCACAACATTTGCTAGGTGTTATTTACTTATACAGTATATATATTTATTTATTTATATATTGTCATTGATTCTTGAAATAAATGTCACAAGGAAATGTTTCTCATTTGATAAGTAATTTTAGAATACCTATGATATACACGAAGTATTTTTAGAATTCAGGTGAGAATCTCTGCTGGAGCAGTTTTAAAAACATCTTGGGGAGAAAATAATAAAATGAAATTAGGAAAAAGGAAAATATTTGTTTTTAGTTTATATTCATCTAGATGTTCCACGAAATAAAAAAATGGCGGTCAATTAAATCCTCAACATAATCTTCGCTAACGTAATCAAGGGGTAAAATTGTTTCGCGAATCAGCCAAAATTTGAAAGTTGACCTGCGTTTTCAGCTGTGGACTTCGGCAGGACTTTCGAGAAACGTATATCTTATTTTGCCTTTCAGAAAATGTGCGTTATTTTCCAGAAAGTACTTCATTTTTTTGCCGTCGCTCGTTTTTGCCTTGCTTGAGTGTCGCGGGTTTTGCTTCTTCTCAGGAAAGCAATGGGTTTCATCAGATTCCGGAAGGCCTTGGTGACTTCCCATTCGGACACGACTTCCGGGCTTTCGACGATCTCCTCGGTCATGTACACTCTGACAATGCAGAGCCAGTTTTTCAGCCGTTTTCGCATCTCGGAAGTGTTTCCGGTTTCTTGCACTGTTTTTGTTTCAGGATTGAATAAGGAAGAATTGGAGAGAGAAAATCATAAAAAATCTCTTGGTGAGCTGCTGTTGAATGATTATTGCAAAATTTGGTACCTTTGGGGGATTTGTTCCCAAACCTCTGCTGTCCAAGAGTTAACAGATTTTTTTCTTTTCTACTTTGAATATCCAGTTATACTGTATTTACTCAAGTACCACGTGCCCTCAAGTAAGGCACGCACAGGGGGTTTTTCAGTTGGAAATTTGGCTAAAATCTTATCCCCAAGTAAGATGTGCACCCCAATTTTTAGTGAATATAAAACCACAAAATTTTGAAAATAGAAACAAAAAATTGACTTTAGACATGAATTGAACAAAAATCTGATCAATTTTCAACTGTTTCAGTAAAAAAAAGTTATCTTGTTCCATTTTTTCCAAATTTCTCCCTTATAATTGAGTATAATGCTCACATAACTTCCTAAAACTTCTTGAAAAGTTTGTACCCGCTTATGACGCACACCCCTTTTTTTCTTCTGAAAGTTGAGAAAAAAAGGTGCACGTGGTACTTGAGTAAATGCAGTAATATTGTTGACCAAGTCCAATACAGGTGGTGTACCCTGCAATCAAAATCTAATCCCATTGCCAGGCTAGGGTTGCATTTTGAAGCAGTTGAATTGTGAGACAATGTCAAATTTGATATTTTATGCATTGAATTTAATGTTTTGCCTCATCTCTCTGCAGGTCAAATTGTGGGGCAGAGGTTGAATTGCAAGTCAACTTCCCAGCTAATTTGAGGATGGTTGAAGTGCGGCATGTCAAATTGCAAGGTACCTTTCTGTACAATAATTAATTTTAATGTTTTCAACAGGAACCTTTGTGAGTCAAACTTCCCTTTTGTCAAAATGTAAGGCCTTTTTATTGGACTATTTTTAAGACCTGTCCTAGTAAAGATGAAAAAAATTCCTTAATGATCTGCACAAACAGGGATTACAAATCTTTGCAAAGGTGGGACATTTAGGAATGATGAGCAGTTAATGTGATACTGTAATTTAACTGGCTAACCTTTTAATAAAAATGTAATTCCCCAACTCAAAACTGTTCAAGTCATAATTTTGTAATAGTCCCTTATTCAAATTAGACTCAGTCAAGATGTTCAACTGTATTTTCAAGAGCTTATGAAAAGTTTGCATGCTTGTGTCATATTTATATACAGAATCTAAAAAAAAAATTGACATGCGTTCAATCTCTGTCCACCAAGGTCGGGTTGTGTCCACTGGAATCAAGCAGGACTCGACAGAGATGAAAGTGCCTTTCTGGGTGGTCATCCATTCATTGATTTGTCGCACAACGTCATTGATGGTCTCCAGCGACTTGCCGCAAAAGCCGACGAGTTTCGGCCGGAAGTGTCGACAGCTCCAGGAACCGGAACGGTTGTTTGGTTGGCGAACAATCGACAGTGTCGACGATTCATTGGGACAAGCTGAAGAAGACGAAACAAGTTAACCAAGATTTTTCATCGACAAGACTTATGTGTATATTCCTTCATTTCTGAGATTTAAAATTTTTAATTGATTGTGACGTTTGGAAAATTTTCAATGAGCTTTCAGACTATTCTTGAATGTATTTTAACGCATGTGTATAAAATTTGTCATAGCACTTCTTTTTTCGCTTCGAAGGTTCAAGAATGTAGCTATTCAAAATTTGAGAATCGTAAAAATAGATTCGTGTCATGTCGTCTTAGGATCGAAACCTGGCCTATTTTCCTCGACAATAATTTATTCCATCAAGGATTAAAACGATGAATAATGTAAATTGTGAAACTATCTTCGAAAATATGAAACGTTCTCAGGTCTTATTGTATTTTCAAAAATCAAAATTTTTTCATTTGTCTTTAACTTCGAGGCGAGTGAAATGGATGAAAGAAACTCGTGTATTTAGTTCACTTGAGCAAGCTTTGAACAAACAGTATTCTGTGCCTTTTAGTGCATTCATGCGTAAAACAATTTGATCTATTGCATCCCATTTTTTTTCTATTTTTTCAAGAAACGTATAATTTCTTCATTTTATTTTTTAGAATATGCAACACGAACGGTATCGAACGACGAAAGCGACTCTGACGATTCTGATGAAACTGGATTTCGGATCGTCGTAGAAATACGTTTTTCTCGAGTCCATGAATCCTTCGGGGGACATTCGCATGTCGACGGCCTGAATGTTGGTGATTCTGATGTCCGACCTTTTTTTTTTTTGTCAAACGAAAAGGGGAAGGGAAATGTACACAGAATTTATTTTCCGAACTCCGTGTGCCAGCAAGGTTAAAAATGTGATGAGAAACTCAGATAAATTTAAGAATAGCTTAAGTTTGAAGAAGTCAAGTCGAATGGATATTCAAATTTCCTTCAAACTATATTCCAGTTGATGTAAATCCAAGCGAAATAAAAAAGCAATAACAATTACAAAAATTAAACTGAAACAATGAAATAAATTAAGCATTCCATCCATTTAGCATTGAATAATTATTTTGAATTGAACAATAAAATGGGGAATGTTGCATTTTGGCATTTTTACGACGCAATTGCTAAGCAGGAAAGGCTTGAAATAAGGAACTGAAGTGTTTGAAAATTTTTCTATATTTTTTTTTATCTACCCACTTCGTTCACTTCATTTCTCATCAACATCATCATGGCTCGTTTTCTACGCGATTTTTTTTTAGAAATGATCTGAAATGTCTTTTATTATTGTTGTTATAAATATAATACAGCAGTTTATGTATGTATATTTTTGTTTGTTCACCTACCTAGACGAACACTTTCTCGACGCCCGCAGCACCAGATCGCTGAACGTTTCAAAAGTGCCGTCGGGTCGTTTCCGAGGCGCAAAGTCGGCCAGTCCGATGGCCTCGCAGATGACGTGCGACATCTCGTGGCCGTTGTTTCCGCTGCCGTCTTCTCCTCCTCCTCCTGCTTCTTCCTCGTCCTCGTGGCTGCCGAGGAGGAAGCCGACGAAGATGCGGAGGCCCATGGTGAGCAGAGTGGCCTCGGAAGAGTCGTCCGGCCGTCGATCGAACGTCGTCTGCAACGTCTCCACCGTGAGGATTTCGAAATTGGACGGCCACGTGTGTTCCAGGGTGGAGTTGACGTCCGTCAGCAGGGTTTCCAAGTCTGTGAACTCCAGCCGACCGTCGGCTGAAATATAATACGCCATAAAAAATAAACATAATGAAACATTATAAATAGAATAATAACTGAGGCATAAACAAAAGTAAAAAATTAAAATAATGAAATATAAAAAATATGTGTAGAATACAGACAGTATAAATACTGCATTCAGTAAAATCTCATTGCAACAAATACTGTCACAACAAGAATAGGCTCTGCAAGTCAGACTAGGTTTTTATCCTGTTTGTGTGCTTTTTTCTACAAAGTTTTGCAAATACAGCTCCACTGCAGAAGGGACAGAAAATTTTTTTTATATTAAAAATTTTAGATCTGCTGGAGGTATTTTGTTAGAAAAAATTTAAATTGCTGGATTAAAACTACTGAAATTAAGTCGTGTTCACAGTATTTTCCATTTAAAAAATAAAATTGTATTTTGTTCGCAGAATAGATGTTGTCGTCATCGTATCTGTCATCACACCACCTCCGAGGATGGGCTTCGGCAAGACGGTGTGGACGACGATCTTGTGGCTGTGGACCCGAGGCCTGTCGCACTTGATGACCCAGAGCCGGAGGAAANAAAAGTAACATGATTGAAATTTGGCAAACCTCCCATTGCTTGTGGTGTCGCAGCCAATTGTTTGCTCTCTTGACAAGATGGCTGAGATTCTCGTAACCCGTCCTGTAGCTACACCGGGGAAGAACATTGAGACACTTGAGTTTTTGCACACCATCTGAGTGGTTTTGCTGCGCCAACACTGTCCTTGTGGATGACGCCACTGGGCTTAGTATGTTGAAGCTTCCAGAGACACTCATGGTTGATTTTCAAGTGATGGTGAAGTAGTTGGGACTTTAATTTGTTTCTATGCTGGATGATTAATCAGGCAAACATTATGAAAGTCGACTTTTTTGTGATGGGATGCTTTTACCAGTTGGTTGTTGGTATAGACATTTCGTGAGGCTCACTGAAAAGAATGGGAGCTAATCCATCCATCCCAGTTTCTCTAGAAATGTCAGAAAGTCAATGAATGAATGAAGTTACTTTTCTGCAGGAGCAGCCCTCACAAAAGATAATAATAATCTACATGCAATCATTAAAAAATTGAACTTGCAGTCTGTCAGATTTCCTGCTGTAATTTTTGAAGGGTATATTTTTTTGGGAGCACAATTGTTGTCAAATTTCCTTATTCAGGGTAACATTGTGTAGTATTCATGAAATTCTTATTACAAGTGGACTCTCCCCAACAGTCTTGTCTGCAACAGTTTTTTCTGTATTAGCAAAGTTTTCTTAGATTATGAAGAGCAGTGTCACCTTTTTTGGACCCCATAAACCAGCAAGATTTCCATGAAATTTTTGAGGGACTGACTAATTCCCAAAAACATTTCTGCAGACAGGCGAAGTTTCATAAAATTTTGCAGACTCACAAAAGTTTTACTTGAAAGACTTCATGACAGGAATTGAAAAGTTTGTGATTTTTTCAAAAATTGAATGGATCAACTATAGCTATAGCAAGATGTCATGAAAAAAATAGAAAGGTGGGCTTGAAGAAATGTTCAGCAGAATGGAAAATATTTTGAAATTACCTGTTTTTATTTCAGCAGTTGAAAATTTTGTCTTGAGGTTTTGAGAGAAAATCCAATTTTTATTTTCATCATGTAATTTTACTGCCGTTTTCCTTCCATAATTTTAGATGAAGATAACAGAAATTCATCCCTACTTTTTATACTCGTATTATGCTGAAAATTTCCCACAGACCAGCAAAAAACTTCTGCAGACTGGTACCAGTCCATGGGTTGGGGACACTGATGTAGGGGTTCTCTGCAACAAATTCAAGGACTGGAGAAAAATTACACTAGTTCTGAAAAGAGAAACTTTATTTGGAACGTTTTTTTTTCTTGTCTCTCAAATTTGGTTTTAGGGAAAAATTCTCTCCAGAACGAATATTTCTTCTAGTCCCTAGATTTTCGTTTTTGAGCGAGTCCACCTGTATTCCCTTCATTATTGTTCTGCTGGACTATTTCATAAGTTTTCGAAATGGAAAACACGCTTGAATAAAAAACGTAAATATTTCATCTGCTTTCCAGGTTCGGAAAAACCACATTGCACATCGACGAAAAAAAAAAAAACTATGGCAAATATGCACCGGTACACATTCTTTGTCGTCGTCACCCACCGGAACCGGAAGTGGCCATTCGCTGAAACGAGGGCTTCGTCACCGGCGACGGAACCGAAAAGAAAATGAAGAGAAACACCGTTAGTGCCATGATGACGCAAAGACACGAGTTGAGGAAAAGCTTTTCTCTGCTCGTCTGCTCCAAAGACGCGACGGAATCCAAGTGATGCAACAAGGCATTGGCGTCTTCATCTTCACCAGCTGCCGCAGCGATCGGATCTTCGTGGAAACCGCAAATCCATTCGAAGGCTTTGCTGATCAACGACGAAGAAGACTCCTCGGAATTCGCCAACTTCCTGTTTTTCTTTGTCTTCTTCTTCTTCTTGCCGGATTCAAAGCCATCTTCCAAACGGTTGAGCTGAAATCCGCCGTCGCCACGTTCGACGGGGGCGATGGTTTCAATTTCCACGCGTTCGCAATCATCTGGACGAGGTGTTTTGTCAAACCGGGTCCAATACGTTGTCCGGATGATCTGAACACGGTTGGCAAATATTTGAAAAACTTCCATCCAACAAAATTCAATTTCAAGTTTCAACTTACCCGAAAGGCTTCGGGAGGTTTTGTTATGAGTGACACGGACACACAAGCCCCAATCGTCACCCAGAAAAGTATTGTGGCAAAATACATGTAGTGCACCTGAAAAAGCAAGTAATGTACATCAATGCAAGGAAGATGATGTACGTTTTTGACATGCCAAGAAATCATTAAAAGACGCGTGTAACTGGGACAAGTTTCTTCCATACTAGCAACTTTATCTACATTCATTGAGTTGGTTTTCCTGATGCATTTGTAAATTGTAATCATACAATTTATGAAATAGAAAATGGCATGGAGTTACATCCAAATGCATTTTTTCAGGGAGATTGGCCTCTGTCCTGGAATTGGACATACTTTAGCCACTGCTGATATTTCTCCATTTTATGAAGTGTCTTGCAATCTGATCCAAGCCCAACAATGAATTAGGGTTGAATTGCAAGGTACCACCTGTACTAGCCACACTCAAGTAAATCATTAAACATTGTGGCTGTTGGGCAGGGACCTTGAAAATGACTTTGTTGTAAGCAATCATTCAATACAGTATAATAAGGTTCATTGTACAGGCAAATCTCTATAACTCAAACCTCCCAAAGTCAAAACCCCCCCCCCCCCCACCCCTAATTCAAATTGTTTCCAGGTCCCCATCTGAATCCCCATAGAAGCAATGCCTAACAAACCTCCCTAAGTCAAATGCTTTTACCCTCAACCCTCCAACAGTCAAATTTTCTGTGGCCTGTTGGCCATTATTTTTTTGGTTCAAGAAAGAAAAAACAATAAAACATAAGTTAAGGTGTTCTAAAAGAGGTGAATTTTGCAAATGAACCCCTGCCTTAAAGTACAGCATCCTGTGAACTTATTTAAAAACCAATTAAGTACCAGAATATCACTATTTACATTTTTGGGCAGTTTTTCGAAGTTTTCCAGAAAAAAGGGCATTTTACTGCAGCTCAAACCTTTATAATTCAAAACCTCCCAAAGTCAAATTGCTTTGCTGGTCCCTCAAAATTTGACTTAAGAGAGGTTTGACTGTATTAAGATTCTATTGCATTGCGGTAGTTAAATCACCTCATCAACTTCAAATGAACACACAAAATGTTCTCGGATCTCACCTGTGCAAGAATGGCAGGTCGTGTGTCCACTTCATAGCACCGTGGTTCCGGGTATACCACCTCAAGCGCCATCCTGACTAGTCCTATGGCCAGTCCCAGCACCAGGCCCCAAAAGGCGCCTTTCTCGTTCATCCGAGTCCAGGAAATGGCCAGACAGTAAACCGCCGCAATCGGCGGGGCCAATGCAGCAGCAATGGACTGGATGTAGATGTAGAGCTGTCCCCCCTGCAGCGACTCGATGATAGGGATCCACAGGACGGAAACTGCTACCATCAGCACTACAAACAACCTGCACTTACGCAGAAGAAGAAGAAAGAGACTACTTTAGAAATTAGTGGTCACAAAACGCAATCGAAAAATGAGGAATTTTTCATAAATGAGTGAAGCACTTCTTACTTTTTAAATCACTAAATGCGGCGTTTTCCCGTAAAATCAACAAAATTTTCACACATCTTATGTATTAGTCCGAACTTTGCAAGTACCAAGTTAAATTTGATTGAATTATTCGCAAGAATTCGAATTTCAAAGTTTTAGTGGCTCGTTAAAAAAAAAACATTTCTTGTCCCAACCCTGCGCGCCATCAATAAAAAATGAACACAAAAAAGTCTTGAGTTCAAAAACACTTGGTTGCTCTGGGATAAGCAGAAAGTTGAGGTAAATGCTGTACTGCACTTGATAATTCCGCAACTCATTGAAGTACTGTATGACATACAGTTGGACACCACATGCAGACATAATTGGTGCATCTAGATTGTCCTGATGTTGGGATGTCCCTAAGTCAAGTCTCATTTTTCCTTAGACTTCAATGCTGATATATTTAATTGGTTATCCTTTTTGATAAAAAAAATTACTGTAGAAAACAACATAAATTTGATCTTTTGGTATCAATAAAAAGCAAAGAAAAAGAATAGGTCTTGCTAGAATATGCACAGATGATGAAAAAAAAAATCTCTAAGAAAAGAAGCACAAAATCAGCTTGCTTTTGATGATGAATTAGAGTGAATTTATCATGGAATATTTTTTTGAATATAAATAGCTTGATTTCTTTGAAAGATAGCAAATTAGAAAATAAAATGATTAAATTTTTTGGGAAAATTTCAGAAAAGTGTCCCTAATGTG